GGCTGCGGGGGCTGCAGAGGTGAGAGCAGCACAGGAGCCAGGGGGCGCTTTGGGCACGGGCTGACAGGAGGAATCGGGCTCCGGAGGTGCCGGGCGGGCTTTGGGGGTGGGGGTTTGCTCTGTGGGAGGAGAGCTGGCTGGGGACAGCCCGTCAGAGGGAAGGTGTTGTGTGGAAGATGCTGAACCCAACGTTTTCTCTCCCTCCAAACCCCTTTTGTCCTGATGAGCGAGTCACTGACATCCACAGAGTTTGGGTCAGGGGGAAACCACTGGGAGAAATGGAGGAGAACTCAAGGTTTTGGTGGCGAAGCCTCTTACACCAAGCATGGTCCATCCCAAATGTCCATCCCAAACGTGGATGCCTGTCAGGGGGATGCCCATGACAGGCCACAGTGCCAGCTCAGCTCCTGGGACCTGGTTTCACGGGGGGCTCCTTCCCTCTGTGCCACAGGGTGTCCGTCGAGGAGATGCGGAAGGAGCACGAGGAGCAGCTCCAGTGGCTGAAGAGGCTGAAGGAGGAGGAGGTGGAGGCTGTGACCAGCGCCGTGTCCCACACCAGGTGCTCCCCAAAGCAGCAGCTCCATCTTCCTCCTCCTCTGCTGGCACCCCGAGGGGCTTGGGGTCCATCGTGGTGGGACGAAGGGTGTCCCACGGGGGTGACCTTCCCTCTGTCCTCTCCACAGGTCTCTGAACGGTGTCATGGAGCAGATGGAGAAGTTCTCCAGGGACCTGCAGGAGCTCTCACGCAGGATGGAGGCCACGCAGCACAGCACCTCCCAGGAGCTGGCCACGGAGGCACGGCAGCAGGGCGAGCAGCTCAGGGGTACGTCTGCTCTTCCTCTGGTGGCAGAGTCCCCACTGGGGCTGGGGACAGCCAGAAAACGGGGAGAAGTTCCTCCAGGTCACCCTTGAAGTTCCTCCAGGTCACCCTTGAAGTTCCTCCAGGTCACCCTTGAAGTTCCTCCAGGTCACCCTTGGAGCTGAGGCTCCAAAGCCTTGGTCACTGGACATCTTGGGGTGTCCCCTGTCCAAAGCAGCGTCCCGGGGGTGTGCAGAAGGGGATGAGCTGAACACGTGGAGTTTTTCCATGGTCAGAGGGGGCTTTCTCACCTCCTGCTGCTGCCTCTC